ACAGAATATGTCCTTGCTCATATTTGCTGCATAATACACAACTCACTTTTGTTTTTTCCAGCCTCTTTTCTTGTGTAAGAGGAAAAGCAAAGGCTCGCAATGAAAGCTGAAGCTGTAGGTGCAACCCTGAAAAGAGATGAGCGTGGGAGGACATTTATGCCTGTGCAGAATCCCACTGAAGCCAAGGGGCCGTCTGCTCTGCCCACACAGCTCTTCTTGCCTCAGTTAATATTACAACTTTGTTTTATACAATCTGTGGTTTCAAAATGAATCCTGGCAATGAATGTAGGCAATAGAATACAAACTCTGGACTACAGTCAATGCACCACACCTGTATTCATCTGTTTAAAAGCCTAATCAGGACAGATCACGACACCAGTTCTCAACCTGATCCCAAAAACAGCCTGGCCACAAGAATTGTTTTAAAGCACAGAACTCCGCAGTCCTCTTGACAGGCATCATGTTGAACCATATCTCTTTTCAGGAAAAGAAAAGGTTCAAAAAAAGTTATCTAATTTTGGTTGACCTCCTCAATTCAAGGGCAAGTGGTACTGAAGTAGAAATCATTTCCATAACTGAACTGCAGAGCAGTCATTTAACAATTAATAAGTGATCCACTCAGGATATGGAACTGAATATGAAAATAAACACGTGAGAATTGAGATACCTCTGCACAAAGAAAGGCTGCAGCTCCTCCACGTCAGATATTTAATTGGTTGTCTTTTTCTTTTCTCATCATGAACAAGGGGAGACGAGGGCAATGAAATATAAAAGACCTTAACCACTTCTACTGAGGAAAATGGAGATGGTTCATTTAGCTTTCTGTGCCTTTGAAGCAGAGGAGAAGTCTCTCTTTTTTTTGTCTCTCCTGCCTTTTTTGGCCTGCAATCTACAGTTTGGACGTCAGCCTTTAGCAGAACAGGCACGTTTCTCATCAGTAGTAAATCTGTAACGCCTTCCTCCTGCACCCAGAAAATGTCAGATTTGTGACGGGCTCCCCTTGGCAGATGTAAGGTCATTGCTCTTGCTGCAGGACTGTGAGGAATAGAATGCATTTCACCTCCTCCCTATTCCTGTGATCAGACTAAAGGTGCCCTCCTAGGAGACCAGTCGAAGCACCAAGGACCTTGCCTTGTGCTGGCCTGGCACATCGTGGCCATGAGGGCGCAGGGACACCACCCCCTGCCTTCTCACTGCAGCTCTTGAGTGGAAGAAGAAGAAGAAGAAGAAGAAAGAAGAAGAAGAAGAAGAAGAAGAAGAAGAAGAAGAAGAAGTCATAAAAGAAAAATGAATGGAGCTGTGATTTCAGGTAGGGAGATGAGATGGAGAACAGCCTTATACGACTCAAAGCCACCCTTTCCTTAAGAAAGCAGGGAACAGGAGGACAATGTGCAATACCGAATGCTCTTGTCTGGTTTTAGACAGCTGTCCTGAAGTGGAATTATGGCAAAATTTGTGAGTGGACCTGTGTCCTTCTCTTTTCAAACATCAAAGCACTACACTTTTTTAATCCTGGTAAGCCTAGGGCTTTGTACTGATGGCTGGTCTTTCTACTGCCTTCTTGACCAAAAGGTACTAACAAAGCCAAGACTGACTGTGCACCATCATCATAAAAATACCTGTTTCTGGTTTAAATACTTTGCTTTTCAATTCCCCTGCTTGCTGACCTGCCGAAGGGCTGGGAGGTAGTGGAGACTGTATGGAAAGATTTGGACTGCTTTGGGGGCTAGTAGGGTAAAAAGGGGCCTGCATACAAAGGCAATGAGGACAGGGAATGTCTGTCTCCTCCTCCGTCTGCTTGCAGGATTTCATGTCTCTCCTCACCCTGCTAATGCCTATTATATCTTTCCGTGTCTGTTATATCTTTCTTCAAGGTTAGGAGACAAAAGCTAGCACAGACTTTGCAGCAACAGTAAATAATTAAATTTATTTCCTCCCATTCTTTAAGCTTGCTTTTATCTGAACCCCTGCTGAATGCCAAATAGGGATTTTCACTGACCAGCCCACACTTGCACTCGTCCTTCACAAGCCTTTACAACACACATAGAGCTCAGAGAGGTTTACAAAATCCAAACAACTCTTTCTCTAAAGCATCATTTTGTCTCCCTTCAGGAGATTTTAAAAAAAAAAAAAATATTCATTTGCAAAGCTGGGTTCAAGTCATGGTAGTTGCTGTCTGTATGTACCAGAAAACTGCAGGGATTGATTTCTCCGAGCCTGCCAAACCGTCTGCAGGGAGAGCACGGAGCACTGTTCCTTAATTTCCTTGTATAAAAGGATTATCCTGAGATACAGTACGCTGGGAAGCAGCTCTGCATTTGGAATGGCCTTTCACCCCACAAGCCCAATTAAGAGTTTCGGAAACAAGTCGTAGACACGTAAAGATATTTTCTAAAATATCAGCCTCAGTTATAAAAAGGGTATTGGTGCTTTAGAGCTCCCAAAATAACCAGGGAGGGAATATAGCATTTTTGGCCTCCTTCAATTGATTCCCCAATAAACAAGTTCTTGACGAGAACTCAGCATTACCATTTAATGGGTTTGTGCTCCTCCTGTATGCACCTGCTTAACGAAGGACGGAATTAAATGCTGATAAAATACCTTATCTGGACATCACAGACCTCAGCTTCCCATCTCAAATCAAAGCAGTGGCAGTGCTTGGTTGTGGTTTGGTTTGGTTTTTTTGTGGTCGTGTGGCAGCAGAACAGGGAAGGACACTGGGTACCATGAGCACTCACTGCACCAAAAAAGCAACAAAAAAGAGTAACTTCCAAAAAAGTAACTTCCACTATACCTATTAAGAAAGCCAGGCAGTCACATGAAGAAATCAAATACATCTTTGGTTGGTGTGCTATAAAAAGAGAATAACACACCCTTGCCAAAAAACATCTCAGAAATGCTTTCCAGAAGGAACACTTTGCATGTGCTGTTGAATCCTGAGCTACTGCAAAAGGGTTAATACAGTTTTCAGCTCACTGTGGAATTTTAAACAATAAAATAGGTACAGACAATATTAGACTTGTATTTTTGTTTTTTAACCTCACTGGAAAGACTCAGTGGTCAATCCTTAGCAGCAATTTCATAGATGCACTTGAAGTTCAGACAGTGAGAGGCCCTACGTGATTTCTCCACAAGAGAAAAACCAAGTAGGGATGAGAATGGACCTGCCTGAGCATCATTTGAGAGAAGTCATGAGGGATTTCTCTTGCTGGAAACCTCTCCCACATGCCACCCTGGGTGGACAACATACCTGCCTCTTTCCACTGCCCTCCAGCGCTGCTCTTGAAGAACGTGTGTGATGAAATTTCTATCATGAAATCTCCAAGAAAGCCAAAGTCTTACTGAACGGGGGACTAATTTAGTGCTCCTACTGCGGATGAGCCTCAGAAACATGGAGCAGTACTTCCACTGAATCACTGTAGAGGAGTTAAGGAGGAGGCAAGAGGGCCATTGCCCATGTTCAAAACAAACACTTCAGACAATATATTTCATCTGGACCAGATCTCTAATGCAACTCCCTCTTTCTTGCTAGTTTTTGATTGCCTTGGATTCTGTGTCTTAAAATGGTCATAAATAGGAAATGATAAGCAAATACATCTCCACTCACTCCCACTGTACATTATACATCCTTTGTGAGCAAAACAACCAGGACTTTTTAAAACTGTGGCAAAGCATATTTGTAACTGTTACTACAGATACGGTGAGTCACTAATGATCTGGGCGCCAGAAGAGTCTGCTTTCTGAAGTCACCATTGCTCGTTATTTCAAGAAAACAATTAGTCAAAATTAAAAACGAAGCCCTAGAGCTTCCAGGAATTGGTTACTGTGCTTTGGATATTCATGAACAGGATGAAGACAATAAAGGCTGTCTGGACCATCTCCTCACCCCTTCATAATGGGTATAATAACTTGAGACAACCTCATCAGTAAGGGACAATAAAAATATAGATTCCCTTCAGGAGCTATGGATGGGGAGGATGGAGGGATGGAAATGCTGAAAAGTTATTCTTATTTACTGACTTGTCTGCATTAAACTCCAAGATACATAATTTTTATTTTTAACCAAGAGCCTTAAGCATCTAAAAATGAGAGTACTACTCATACTGGAAATAAGTTCAAATCACAAAACCCCACACTGTTTAAAACTGAGATTAGATTTTCAAAAGACAACACATTTAGAAGAGAGTGCATTACCAGAAACGGAACATCTTAAACTATTTCTCTTCATTAAAAAATGAATCATCATACTTTTCCCCAGCTAGAACTTATTTATCTAACTATAATGAGGAGCTGGCATTTGATGTTATAATCTCCACAGATTCACCCATCAGAATATAACTACTGCTGGACCAAAAAGACCCTGGCACCTGGGTCAGATGCACCAGTAGGACTGTCTAAAGTTCTTTAGTCTCAGAATAGCTGCACCCATATGGACAGATGCACTCGGCTCAATGAGATTTATTGCTATTAGATAAAATGGCCAGAAAAGCAGCTTTCCTAATTTTTTGTCTTAGGTAAAAGCTCTAATCACTGTCCTTTTAGTTTCCATCTACAAAGGGTAAAACCGAGTTGTTGGGTTGGTTTTTTCTCTAAAAAAAGCCCTGAACAAACCTAAAAACCCCATATGTTTGGAGTTTCCATGACATCATCCCTCCCTGTGCCCTCGCTGACCTGAGAGCTCACTGCAGGCACAGACATGTGCCATCAGCTGACAGCTCCAAACAGGGCAAGCAACCAGCCCAGCCACTCACCTGGGTCTGGATTTACTCACTGAAAAAAACCCACCCTCAGTTTATTCCTCAAAGAAGGGCTGGGGAATCTGGAGAAATAGAGCAGAACACCACTTGCTGCTTTCCTTGGGGTATATGTTTAAAGCGTCTTTACTTTCAGATTGCAATACAATATTTACCTGTCCCAAGGTAACTATGTAATCACAGCAAAGACAGTGGAAAGAAAAACCAATGGAGAAGAATAACATTTATTATTTATAAAAAAAAAAAGTAAGTTGTTTCCTCCTCTTAATCTTCTCTTCTTGCTTTCCATCAGCAGTTTGGTAGCTAGGGATCATTTCTTACAACACATTTGCAACATGTCTAGTGCAGAGGCGTTCTGTCCTGGAATCCTTGAACCACTTCAAGATATGACAGATAAAGAAAACCAATTTTTAGTTTTGCTTTGGAGCCACACAGCCAAAGGGTCCAGCACTTCCAGAAAAATATTTTGGGCTTCACAGCTGAAAAAAATATGATTCCATGCTACAGGCACTATCCCAAAAGTGTATTACATGGAGGGGGGCTTACTACCAGCATGTGCTACACTCACTTTGAGGTCATGTCACTCTGTCCCTAATTCTGCTGTCCATTTTTTGGGTCCATTATCCATGGATTGAGTGCCTCGAAGTGTGCAACTAGCACTAGTACCTCTCAAACCCAGGGCACTTAACAGCAGCAGAATTTAAGAAGTGATGTCCTACAGCTACTGGTGGATCTGCTGCTTAATATTCACAGTTCAGCTAAAAGCAGCTTTGAAAAGGCCCTTTTTCAGACACATGTACGAATGTTAATGATTAATGTGCTTTTGCATGAAAGAGGGGAAGAGGAACAGGTGTAGCAAAAAGAAAACAATCGTAGGAAAAAGGTTGTTAGGGAAAAATATGGTGTAAAGGACGAAGAATGGAGAACCAGTCCATCCTTGGAGTTACCAAGTGTAGCAGATCACAGTAAATATGAAGGAGGTACCATTTCATTTTGAGGAGAAGACAATTTGCCATCAGTACAAAACTCCACTACAATAATTTTCCAACTTACCAAGTTGGTCCACAATTTTTCAGGTGTTTTTTGCTGCCTTTCATTTGATGCTTTCTTAGGTGACACAACAGGGCAGCACTCTTTAAAGTAAATACAGAAATGTTTCTTGTTGAGAGTGAAGAAAGCCCCTGCAAAGCCTTTACTACAGATGTAATTGCCTAACACACACCAAAGACTTCTGCCTGAAGAAATCAAAGTTAGCATGTATTTTCTTCTTTTTCCTTTCAGCAAACAAGCAGACATGACAGGGCACCAAATGAGCAATCTGAGACTTACTTCCAGTGAAGGACAATATAACTTAGGGTAGAAAAGTAAAACCGGAAGCAGCCTTTAAACAAAGTCTCCTATCTCAGAAATACCCTTCAATACCTTATCATGATTTGGAAGGTTTGTTAACGTGCTGAAGTATTCGTTATTAAACGGCACACATGAGAAAAAGCCTGAAACATGATCACACCTTCCAGGAATCCTCATGGTAAAAACACTGTGTCTGGGGAGCAGAGGGCTCCTTCTTGATGGCCCTTCCTGAGAAGGGGCAGAAAGCTCCACCTCCAGCTGCATGAGGAGACCCATGACACTGAATTAGTCTGATGGAGACCTTTCTCACCCGCTTCTTAGAAGCTTCCTCTTGCTTAACCCAACAAGTTCTTAAAATTGCCCTGCCACGTGCCTGGAGCCCTCAGGAAAAGCACAGTCAGGAAGGCTTGTACCAAGCGACCCCCTCATATGAAAAGAACAATAAGGAAATGGTGTATTTTAAATATCTAATCAAAGACTGGGTTTATTACCAAAATTTTATATTCTGCACTATCTGCATGGACTGCACAAGAAAGCAAACATGGCTAACTCAGTAATGTGAATCCCGCTGCAGCAAGGAAGTTCATGCAAAGCTTTTCCTTTAATGCCCGAGCCAGGCTGGTTATCTGAAACAGAGATGCCAGTTCACAGGGCAGGCAACTACCTTGAGAGCTTCAAAACCTGAAATGCAGTAATCCATCAGTCTCCCATGTAGTCTCTAATGCCCTTACTGTTTTGTTAATGGATTACCCAGCTCTGCTTTAAAAATTGCAGATGACATAAGAGTCAGGTTATACAAAGCTGTAACGCATTCAGCATTAGAAGAGTTTGTATAAAATTGCAAACCTGTTGCATAAGCTTTACAGGAAACCAGATCGTACATGGATTTCGTCTTGATCAATGTGTCTAGTCTACAATCTAGTTTCCAAAAATATCAGTGTAGTTCCTTCTTGAAAAGTCAATGAAAATGTTTGAGGTGAGCTGATGAGATGATGTTTGCCATGAATAAGAATGTTTATACTGGTGATGCTTTAATGTTTGCATAAATGCTTGTGTGACACTTGTTTTTTACCCTTCAGAGTGAGCTTTACATGAATTCTAGATGTATTTACCTTCCATTAATGACAATACCTATAAATTCAGATTGTTTTTCATTGAAAAAAAAGAGTTTTAAAGAAGCAAGGAAGAACCTCACAACTCAACTGCCTCTGTCACACAAATCAATTGCCTCTGTCAGATGACAACAACTGGACTTGTTTTTAAGTAAATGGACTTGTTTTTAAGTCATTGGTTAGCAAGAGTTCAATACAAGTGGGCAGCTAACAGCCAAATTCAAACTTTGATGAATTTTCAGAGCTGCAAGATATGAGTGCATGTGAGCATCTATCAAATACTCATGAAGAAAGCATCTCATCCAACAAAGGCATTTCTCCTGTTTTTTTTCAGTTTTTTACAGTGTGTGCTTTTGAAATTAGAGCTCTAATCAGAATGCTTTCCATGTCCAGTAAAGACCAAAAGACAATCCAAACCTGAGACTGCAAACTTCGACTATTATATCCATCAGTCTTGATTTATTCAAGGCTTGAATATTCTCAGTAGAGTAAGGGTCAGCATAATGCTCTATGCTGATGTCAAAGTGCCCTGCTCAGCCGCATTTTACCCTCATTTGAAGGTTTCATTAGCAATAATTACTTTTTTAAAGCTACAAATGCTTGTCTTTCTTAAGACTTTACTTACACATCTTGGAAAATCTAATGGGTTGAAGATTGACAGAGCAAAGCGCTCAATATCCTAATCAATACAGCACTCTATGTGCTAACTCTCAAGAGATTGGCAGTAAACTTATCCATAAAGTATTATCTGGGAATCTCAGTGCATGTGTTAAGAACTATACAGGAAGAGAGAAGAGAAACTCCTAGTTTTATTTGATGAGAGCACTTGGGCTGCAGCCCACTGGCCTGGGCCTCTCCTGGTCCCAGCCAAGTATTTCATCCCTCTGCACATAGGAAATTAGCTTAGGATCACCAGAAAGCTTCAGTATTTCTTTTTTATAACTCCATTTATTGATGCCCATTAAGATGTTTGTTCTAAAAAATGTAGGAAATGGAGATCTACAGAATCTGCTAATGAAAGATTTAATTGAGGGTGATGTTGCACCTGGGTTGGGTTTATTTGTTCATGCCGTTGAATGGTGGTGAGTTATTGTATCATCAGCAAATTATGTAAACCAACCAATATTCTGTAACATGAAAAGCAAAGTTATTTTGGGCAATCAATGCGAAAAAAAAGCAAAATACATCTCCCTTTCAATTTTGCTCTCTGGGTACATTTGTTTCAGCAACTTCCCTTGCTATCTATATCCTGAATCTTCTCACAACTGTGACCCACAAAAAACACGGACAGAGTAACTAAACACTTGATTTCAAGTTACAAAACAAAGCTGTTCACATTTGCTGGTAAAACAATCCCTGTTCCTGTTGGAGTGAACTTCAAAACACCTCTGTTAACTCATGCCACAGATAAAGCTCTAAAAATAACTTGCCCTTAAGACAATCTTGACCAAAACAAATTATTCAGTTTAACAGGCGCCATTCCCTCCTTATCCTCCTAACGTTATGTGTGCCAAAGGAATTACAAATAAAAGTAGCAGTTTTATCTTCTATCTTCCTCAGAACTACCAAACCTACAGGCTCCTAACAGAGTTCCAGTGCGAAGGAGTGCTGCAACCCGAGCTTGGGAATGAAAGCCAGAAAACAGTTATTTAGCTCCTCAAGTATCTGAAAGAGCAGGATATAGTATAGTCAACAACTCTACAAGTTCAACCTGAACTCCTGGTTCTGGATTATTGGTTGTTGACACTCTCCTTAAAGCACAGGATGACAAATATTCCCCCTGAAGCTCATCATTGAGCATCCCAAATAAACTCCAGAATAAACTCAAATCTGAAAATATTATAAGTAACAGATGACAGTGAAAAACACAAAATGAACACAGCAAAAGACTCTGACTTCCAATGAGGCTTTTCCTTAAACCGTCCTTTCTTGAACAATCTGTTTTTCTCCCAAGTGTTCTTAGAAGTTAAATAAAAAAGTTTAAAAAGTTAATAAAACCTCACGGTTTATTCATGCAAAACATGTCACAGAAACTAGTTTTTCTATAGGTGGGTTTTTTATGAGAAATTACAGAGGAAGAAGAGATGCCTTTAATTAAAACAATGTAAAATGGAGTATAAGTGGTTATTTACATATGGTTTAAGTACTCGTGGGAGGAGTGGGAAGACAGCTGGATAAATATTGAACACCATTAGTTTCTTCCTCTTTTAAGACAAAGAGGACCCTCAGCTAATTCTAAGTATTATTTGAAGGGTTACGAATTATTTTTGTAGCAAGGCTTCACAATAAACAAAGCACAAAATACCAGAATATTTTTCTAAATATGCAATGAATTCCAAACTTCCTGAAACCCAGTAATAATTAAATATTTTTGTATTTTATAAGATTTAGCACTAAAGTAACAAACAGAATTCTTAGAAACACTCACTTTCACTTAAAATGAAACCCAATAAAAATCCCTCCTACAAAATGAAGCTTAGCACCTCAGGGATGGGTGATGGACGTGTCACGTGTCTTCTCAATGAGAAAGTGAGAAAGCTCACTTCAGCTTTTTTGTTGTTCATAAACAAAATGTTTATGTGTGTTCATAAGCAACAAAACCCCATGACAGTGATGGAAAAGGCTTTAAGACATGCAACATCACAGTCTTTGAATGTTGTTAACCAGCAGCACAAGAAAATGCACGTGAACAACTTCAGCCCAGCACAATAAGAGGAAAAAGCACTGCCGACTGGCACAGGTTGCATACTTGTCAAAGATAAGATTTATTTTATTTATTTGTTTTCTAAATAAAGAGGCAAAGCCCGCTGCTGAGGTGAGTCTGAGGTAACCTGAGCAGACAGCAACACACGTGTCTCCCCAATAAACTGGTCTCTTAAACCAAAGGACTGTGTTGGTGCACAAACAACTTCAGGAGGGAAAAGCAAACACGTTATTGCCAATAAAAGCCTCGCCACACAATTAATGTGTATTGTCCAGAAAACAAAGTCCAAACTAATTATGTTTATTTGAACAGCGGGAGATGTAAGCCTTCCACCCTCAGAGGTGAAAGCAGGGAACGTGCCTGGGGCCCTGATGCTGTGCCTGGGGCCTTGATGCCGGGTTAAGGGGCTGGGCAGGTTCATACTCTGAGCATGACTTCAGGTCACAAAAAGGCCCTAAGGCTCTCCAGGTGACCTGGATGTACTGTGGTTGCGGAACCACGTGGTGTTCTGACATAGGGATGTGTCACGAGTGCCTACCATGACAGCTGCCAAAGCTCTAGTGCAACACTACGGGGGACAACACCTTGGAAAAAACCAGCCCTCTCCCTAGGAGAACATACTCTGCCCCCAAACCTTTTTCAACAACCCATTTTAAACCATGACAGGCAGCAGCATCTTGATAGTTAATGTCCCCCATCAGATACCATCACAGTCCAGCAGGCAAAGCCTTGAAAACCCAAGTGCTGCCCAGCTGGCCAGACAGTGCTGCTTGCCAGGACTTGGCCATCGGCACTTCACCAGACAAAAACGCCTTTCTTGGGGGATGTGACTTTATAATCAGACCCTACAACAAGGACTGCAATTCAGGGCCCAGAAAACAACAGAAGACTTGATCCTTCCCATGTGAACAAGCCAAACAGATCTGAATAAATAAAGCCTAAGGCAAGCTAAGTTTTAGCCATTGTG